GGAAAAGTCATTGGCATGTGAGCCTACTGAATTAGAACAATGATCTGCCACGGCCGAGGTGTTGGTCCTACCGTGTTTAAGGTCTGCTTTGTGTTCACGAATGCGGTCCGAGACATGGCGTTTGGTTTCTCCAATGTAACTACTACCACAGAGGCAACTTAGTTTGTAGACACCAGGGTATTGTATGTCCGGAATCACATCTTTTACAGACGGAACCAGATCACGTATTTTATGTAATGTGTTGAAACGGACCTGGATCTTGTGTTTATTCAAGATTTTGGAGATATTTTTTGTTCACGCTTACAGTGGCTTTCAGACAGCATACATTATAAAAAATTTCGTCTCCCCCCTCCTCTTTTCAGAATATAGATGGACTAGTCCTAAATAAACTGCCAAATCGTTGCGCGTGGCGCTAACGTTTTTATAAATAAATAAATGCGCCGTTAAAAAATACATTTATGCAAACCAACACACCTGAAGACGACCGTTTGAGTTATGGTCGAAACGTCGTGAGAATTTTTTATTGTTTTATATACATTATTATTTTGTTTTTTCCCTTCAACGTGACTTTACCGAAAAAACTAAGAATACACACAGCATACATAAACAACACACAGCATACACAAACACACACAATATACGTAAACACACACACAACCTACATAAACACACCCACAACATACATAAACACACACAGCATACATAAACACAGCATACACAAACACACAATATACGTAAACACACACACAGCATACACAAACACACACGCAACATACATAAACACACACACGACATACATAAACACACACACAACATACATAAACACACACAACATGCATAACAAACACACAACATACATAAACACACACAACATACATAAACACACAACATACATAAACACACACAACATACATAAACACACACACAACATACATCAACACAACTCACCGCTAATCGGCTGAAAACATCTTAAAATAGAAAGCCAATTTAGCAGCAGGACCCTCTTCAACGAGAGTCTTATCAACTAAAAACGCAACAATTTTTTTCATTGTACCCGGTAAGGCCCTCTGAGCTACACTGTATAGCTATTGTACCCAGTAAGGTCCACTCAGCTACACTGTATAGCTATTGTACCCGGTAAGGCCCACTCAGCTACACTGTATAACTATTGTACCCAGTAAGGCCCACTCAGCTACACTGTTTAGCTATTGTACCCAGGAAGGCCCTCTGAGCTACACTGTATAGCTATTGTACCCGGTAAGGCCCTCTGAGCTACACTGTATAACTATTGTACCCAGTAAGGCCCACTCAGCTACACTGTATAGCTATTGTACCCGGTAAGGCCCTCTGAGCTACACTGTATAGCTATTGTACCCGGTAAGGCCCACTCAGCTACACTGTATAGCTATTGTACCCGGTAAGGCCCTCTGAGCTACACTGTATAGCTATTGTACCCGGTAAGGCCCTCTGAGATACACTGTATAGCTACTGTACCCAGTAAGGCCCACTCAGCTACACTGTTTAGCTATTGTACCCAGTAAGGCCCTCTGAGCTACACTGTATAGCTATTGTACCCGGTAAGGCCCTCTGAGCTACACTGTATAACTATTGTACCCAGTAAGGCCCACTCAGCTACACTGTATAGCTATTGTACCCGGTAAGGCCCTCTGAGCTACACTATATAGCTATTGTACCCGGTAAGGCCCACTCAGCTACACTGTATAGCTATTGTACCCGGTAAGGCCCTCTGAGCTACACTGTATAGCTATTGTACCCGGTAAGGCCCTCTGAGATACACTGTATAGCTATTGTACCCAGTAAGGCCCACTCAGCTACACTGTATAGCTATTGTACCCAGTAAGGCCCTCTGAGCTACACTGTATAGCTATTGTACCCGGTAAGGCCCACTGGGCTACAATGTATAGCTATTGTACCCGGTAAGGCCCTCTAAGCTACACTGTATAACTATTGTACCCGGTAAGGCCCTCTGAGCTAAACTGTATAGCTATTGTACCCATTAAGGCCCTCTGAGCTACACTGTATAACTATTGTTCCCGGTAAGGCCCACTGAGCTACACTGTATAACTATTGTACCCGGTAAGGCCCTCTGAGATACACTGTATAGCTATTGTACCCGGTAAGGCCCACTGAGCTACACTGTATAGCTATTGTACCCGGTAAGGCCCACTCAGCTACACTGTATAGCTATTGTACCCGGTAAGGCCCTCTGAGATACACTGTATAGCTATTGTACCCGGTAAGGCCCTCTGAGCTACACTGTATAGCTATTGTACCCGGTAAGGCCCACTGAGCTACACTGTATAGCTATTGTACCCGGTAAGGCCCACTGAGCTACACTGTATAGCTATTGTACCTGGTAAGGCCCACTGAGCTACACTGTATAGCTATTGTACCCGGTAAGGCCCACTGAGATACACTGTATAGCTATTGTACCCGGTAAGGTCCTCTGAGCTACACTGTATAGCTATTGTACCCGGTAAGGCCCACTCAGCTACACTGTATAGCTATTGTACCCGGTAAGGCCCTCTGAGATACACTGTATAACTATTGTACCCGGTAAGGCCCACTCAGCTACACTGTATAGCTATTGTACCCGGTAAGGCCCACTGAGCTACACTGTATAGCTATTGTACCCAGTAAGGCCCACTCAGCTACACTGTATAGCTATTGTACCCGGTAAGGCCCACACAGCTACACTGTATAGCTATTGTACGCGGTAAGGCCCACTGAGCTACACTGTATAGCTATTGTACCCGGTAAGGCCCACTGAGCTACACTGTATGGCTATTGTACCCGGTAAGGCCCACTGAGCTACAATGTATAGCTATTGTACCCGGTAAGGCCCACTGAGCTACACTGTATAACTATTGTTCCCATTAAGGCCCTCTGAGCTAAACTGTATAGCTATTGTACCCATTAAGGCCCACTGAGATACACTTTATAGCTATTGTACCCGGTAAGGCCCTCTGAGCTACACTTTATAGCTATTGTACCCATTAAGGCCCTCTGAGCTAAACTGTATAGCTATTGTACCCATTAAGGCCCTCTGAGCTAAACTGTATAGCTATTGTACCCGGTAAGGCCCTCTGAGCTACACTGTATAGCTATTGTACCCATTAAGGCCCTCTGAGCTACACTGTATAGCTATTGTACCCAGTAAGGCCCTCTGAGCTACACTGTATAGCTATTGTACCCGGTAAGGCCCACTGAGATACACTGTATAGCTATTGTACCCAGTAAGGCCCTCTGAGCTACACTGTATAGCTATTGTACCCGGTAAGGCCCACTGAGCTACACTGTATAGCTATTGTACCCATTAAGGCCATCTGAGCTAAACTGTATAGTTATTGTACCCATTAAGGCCCTCTGAGCTAAACTGTACAGCTATTGTACCCGGTAAGGCCCTCTGAGCTACACTGTATAGCTATTGTACCCAGTAAGGCCCTCTGAGCTACACTGTATAGCTATTGTTCCCGGTAAGGCCCACTGAGCTACACTGTATAACTATTGTACGCGGTAAGGCCCACTGAGCTACACTGTATAGCTATTGTACCCGGTAAGGCCCACTGGGCTACAATGTATAGCTATTGTACCCGGTAAGGCCCTCTGAGCTACACTGTATAGCTATTGTACCCGGTAAGGCCCTCTGAGCTACACTGTATAGCTATTGTACCCGGTAAGGCCCACTGAGCTACACTGTATAGCTATTGTACTCAGTAAAGCCCTCTGAGCTACACTGTATAGCTATTGTACCCGGTAAGGCCCTCTGAGCTACACTGTATAGCTATTGTACCCGGTAAGGCCCACTGAGCTACACTGTATAGCTATTGTACCCGGTAAGGCCCTCTGAGCTACACTGTATAGCTATTGTACCCGGTAAGGCCCTCTGAGCTACACTGTTTAGCTATTTTTTCACAAACGATAGCTGGACGAAGTGTGCTTATCATCATCATGATAAGGACACTTGCATCATGGCTCTCCTACATTAATTATACCAAGGCCGTAATTATAATGTATATTGGGGGGGGGGGGGAGTGGGGGGACACCCAATATATTGCTTAAAAAAGAAAAATTGCTATGCTATGTAAATAAAAACAACAATTTGCTAAACCTTGGCCACAATATCTGGACTTGTCTTCATGTAAATCAATGCATAGATTTCTGTTTACATGATTGTGGTCATGGTTGTACTGTATTAATCCCTAATCTCTGCCATTACATACAATTAAACAAAAAATGGTAAAAAAAAGTAAAAACAGAGCAATGTAATACAATACACTATTCGACATCATTGTAAAAAAAAAAAAATCTATCCCATGGTGTTAGTTAATTTTTTTATATTTTAGGCAGCAAATGAGTTTTCAAATTTAGATTTTTTTCTGGGTTGGGACCCCCCAGACCCCCTGGAAGATTTGGTACCCCCCCAATGTTGACTCCATGGCTACTACGGCCTTGAATTATACGAACCTCTCCATCACCTCCTCTCCATAACAGAGGTTGTTTTGGGTTAGATAGCTTAAACATGAAACGTGTCGTTAAGCCCGCCACCACCCGACACAGCCAAATAGCAAGGTCTGTCACGTGAACGAAAAGAGCCAATTCGTCCAGAGTACACCACACACCCGGTGTGTCGGAGAGTAAATTCACAACAACATTTACAATTCGAGCGCCGTGTCGTTTCGCCAGTTAAGTTACAACCAGCATCAACAGGCGGGCAACCAAGAGTCGTGGAGAAGTCCATGGCTGTGTCGGGTGGTGGCGCGTTTATCGACACAATTATATTTACACGATCTAACTCCAAAAACCTCTATCATGGATAACATTGGTCGCGATGGACCGGCTACTGCTATGTGTTTAAACTCGCCTCCTCTCCATCACTACCTCACCGCTGCCACCACCACCACCACCACCTCATCCTTCCTCTCTCAGACCTCCTCCATAAAGACGACGAGAAAATGAAGAAAAAACGAAGGCTCCCCTGCGACACAAGGTCACGAATCGACGGAACGCTTTAATTCAATTCGACAACAAATGAAAACTAATAACACTAACAACGCGGATAATAATCTACAAAGGGTGGCGACAAAGCACGGCAGATCACGGTTAAAAGGTGGAAAAGTTCGCGGTTAAAGTTTTGGGGGGTCGGGGGGGAGGGGTTGGGTGTAGGGGGGTGGGGGGGGGGTCTCACGCATAACTAATACTGGATATATATCGGTCTCTCTCGTCGTATCTTTTTGAGTGCGCGGCACCGCGCACGTTGAAGGAAGAGAAAACTAAAATCGAACAAACGTAAAAAACGAAAACGACGAGAAGAAGTCGAGCGACAACAGTTACAGACAAATCAATGACAAATCAAACTCGCACCGCGGGGTCCTCCTCCCCTCCCTCCCTCCCTCACACCCCCCTCTCTCTCTTCGACTGCTCTCGACGTCGGCGGCACGTGGCGGGGGGCGGACGAGGGTCACGTGCACGTGCTCGTGCGCACGTCACAATGCGGGCAGCCGCATGCGGGTCACGCGCCCTTCTCGGGCCTAGCGGCGAAGGAGGCGCGGCACGTTGGCGAGCGAACACCGAGCCGAGCGGATGCTTCGCGCCATCAGCGTCACCTGTCCGGCAGAATAAAAAATAAAAAAAAACCTCGACCAGTTGGGGGGCAACGAACCACTCGCGCCACGAGCCAAGGGGCACCCAATGTTTGTACAAAAGGGAGTCAAAGTCACCTCGACGGATGAGCGCGACGAATCCCCACGGACGAATGGATGAATTTGACGCCGCGATGCGCTTCAATGGACGGGGCACTCACGGGGGGTGAACTTGAAAAGGAAAACTGTGGAAAAAAAATTTGACCTCGTGCGTGAATGCAGACCAAATGCGCTTCTTAACTCGGATCTCATCGTAATCGATCGCAATAAATGAACAAACGAATGAATTCCAGCAAATGTGCAACTCCCGCTCCGAGGTTACGATGGCGCCGATGTATGAGTCAGTTTCTTCAAGTCCGTTAACGAATTGCCCGCGAATTGATTCTTGATGTGTCTGTATGTTTAAAACTTATTTCGCATCGTATGTAGACAAACCCTGCGAATAGGAGGTGCTGGGAAGGGCACCAAAACTAACAATCTATGAATTAAACAATCGTGTTATATTAAGGGATTGGCCTTGGGGAGGGCGGCAGGGGGCATTGGCACCTATCCTTGAACTTCATTTAAATTGATGTTGAATAACCGAATATACACATTCCCCCACCACCACCCCCAGAAAAAAATGTATTGGTAAAAAATTAACATATTTAAAAAAAGATGATGATATAAAAATATATAGATACCATCTTTTGAGTAATCTGATTGATCCAGAATTGTCTAAGTAATGACAATAATTAATATGAATAACTAAAAACGCAAACGCGGGTGGTGATGATGCGCTAGGAGCCCCCTGTGCACGCACGCGCGAACCCGGCCCTTCCATTCATCATCATCATCAATACCATCAACAACATCATCAACAGCATCATCAACAACATCATCACCATCAACATCATCATCAACAGCATCAACAACATCATCACCATCAACATCATCATCAACAATATCATCAACGTCCACAACAACATCATCACCATCAAAATCATCAATACCATCAACAACATCATCAACAGCATCATCATCAACATCATCACCATCAACATCATCAACAATATCATCATCAACGTCCACAACAACATCATCACCATCAACATCATCAATACCATCAACATCATCAACAGCATCATCAACAACATCATCACCATCAACATCATCATCAACAATATCATCATCAACGTCCACAACAACATCATCATCAGCATCATCATCATCATCATCATGTGTGCCGGCCTCATTTCCACAGCACCATTTATCTCCCCTCTCCGCTGCAACATCCCACTACGACATGAACAGCTCCATCGGTGACCCCCCTCCCTTATCCCCCCCCCCTCTCTCCCTCCCGTGACTCTTGACCGTGACCTTAAACCCAGGCCCCTGAATCTGTCCGTAATCGCGACGGGGCTTTCACTCTGACGCTCGCTTCCACACCACGGCGCTCGCGTGAATCTCACCTTGCCACGGGCACTCGCGTCGCGAACCTCACCGATGGTGCCATACACAGGGCCCGCCTTTGAATGTGCGTTAACACTTACACGGGGCTATCGTTTTTAATGGGAACAGAACGGATCAAAATGCACTGTGACATGGTAATAAATGCAATGTTGATAGCTCGTTGTTGTGAGCGTCCCTCCTTCTGCCCTCCGTTGTTGCTGGCGGGCGACTGCCTCCAACTACCCAGCAGCAGCGTCCTTCAATAGCCTCATCCATTGAGGACGATCTTGACGACACCGCTGGTAAGCCCATCACTCGCACATACACACACACACACTCTCACACGTTGCATATAACCCCAACGTAAGGTCACAGCTATCATAATGACACTGCTGGTGCTGCTGCTTGCTGCTGGAGAAAGCGACTGCTTGGCGAGATATATCCACCCGGCCGCCCTCCATCCTCTATAATTCCTCGAGAAATTGAAGCCAATCGCGGTGCTGACAGGCGAAAGTTCACGATCACCGTCATGTCTACTGCAGAGCGGAGCCACGTGTTTGTTGGGCGTGATCGCGAGACACGGGAAGCAGCTGCAGTGCAGTTGCACGCCTCCACCTGCATGCTGACACACCCATAACCTCTCCTGCGTGCCGTGAAGTAGGGCCATTGCCCAGAACGTCGCCTATTCGCTGACACTCTCTGTCTAACATGATCAACCACCCAACGCTCACATGAACAACCACACAAAGCTCATATGAACACCCATTCAACACTCACACAGCCTGCACCACCACCACCACGCCTCTAGTACCAACACTCACACAGCCTGCACCACCACGCCTCTAGTACCAACACTCACACACAGCCGGCACCACCACGCTTCTAGTACCACAACACTCACACACAGCCAACACCACCACGCCTCTAGTACCAACACTCACACACAGCCTGCATCACCACCACGCCTCTAGTACCAACACTCACACACAGCCTGCACTACCACCACGCCTCTAGTACCACAACACTCACACACAGCTTGCACCACCACCACGCCTTTAGTCCCACAACACTCACACACAGCCTGCACCACCACCAAACCTCTAGCACCAACACTCACACACAGCCTGCACCACCACGCCTCTAGTACCAACACTCACACACAGCCCGCACCTCCACGCCTCTAGTACCACAACACTCACACACAGCCTGCACCACCACCACGCCTCTAGTACCACAACACTCACACACAGCCTGCACCACCACCACGCCTCTAGTACCAACACTCACACACAGCCTGCACCTCCGCGCCTATAGTACCACAACACTCACACACAGCCTGCACTATCACCACGCCTCTAGTACCAACATTCACACACAGCCTGCACCACCACCACGCCTCTAGTACCACAACACTCACACACAGCCTGCACCACCTCGCCTATAGTACCAACACTCACACACAGCCTGCACCACTACCACGCCTCTAGTACTAACACTCACGCACAGCCTGCACCATCACCACGCCTCTAGTACCACAACACTCACACACAGCCTGCACCACCACCACGCCTCTAGTACCAACACTCACACACAGCCTGCACCACCACGCCTCTAGTACCAACACTCACACACAGCCTGCACAACCACCACCACCACCACGCCTCTAGTACCAACACTCACACACAGCCTGCACCACCACGCCTCTAGTACCACAACACTCACACACAGCCTGCACCACCACCACGCCTCTAGTACCAACACTCACACACAGCCTGCACCTCCGCGCCTATAGTACCACAACACTCACACACAGCCTAGACCATCACCGCGCCTCTAGTACCAACATTCCCACACAGCCTGCACCACCACCACGCCTCTAGTACCACAACACTCACACACAGCCTGCACCACCTCGCCTATAGTACCAACACTCACACACAGCCTGCACCACCACCACGACTCTAGTACTAACACTCACGCACAGCCAGCACCACCACCACGCCTCTAGTACCACAACACTCACTCACAGCCTGCACCACCACCACGCCTCTAGTACCAACACTCACACACAGCCTGCACCACCACGCCTCTAGTACCAACACTCACACACAGCCTGCACCACCACCACCACGCCTCTAGTACCAACACTCACACACAACCTGCACCACCACGCCTCTAGTACCACAACACTCACACACAGCCTGCACCACCACGCCTCTAGTACCAACACTCACACACAGCCTGCACCACCACCACGCCTCTAGTACCACAACATTCACACACAGCTTGCACCACCACCACCACGCCTCTAGTACCAATACTCACACACAGCCTGCACTACCACGCCTCTAGTACCAACACTCACACACAGCCAGCACCACCACCACGCCTCTAGTACCACAACACTCACACACTGCCTGCACCACCACGTCTCTAGTACCAACACTCACACACAGCCTGCACCACCACCACGCCTCTAGTACCACAACACTCACACACAGCCTGCACCACCACCACGCCTCTAGTACCAACACTCACACACAGCCTGCACCACCACCACGCCTCTAGTACCACAACACTCACACACAGCCTGCACCACCACCACGCCTTTAGTCCCACAACACTCACACACAGCCTGCACCACCACCAAACCTCTAGCACCAACACTCACACACAGCCTGCACCACCACGCCTCTAGTACCAACAATGACACACAGCCTGCACCACCACGCCTCTAGTACCAACACTCACACACAGCCCGCACCTCCACGCCTCTAGTACCACAACACTCACACACAGCCTGCACCACCACCACGCCTCTAGTACCACAACACTCACACACAGCCTGCACCACCACCACGCCTCTAGTACCAACACTCACACACAGCCTGCACCTCCGCGCCTATAGTACCACAACACTCACACACAGCCTGCACCATCACCACGCCTCTAGTACCAACATTCACACACAGCCTGCACCACCACCACGCCTCTAGTACCACAACACTCACACACAGCCTGCACCACCTCGCCTATAGTACCAACATTCACACATAGCCTGCACCACTACCACGCCTCTAGTACTAACACTCACGCACAGCCTGCACCATCACCACGCCTCTAGTACCACAACACTCACACACAGCCTGCACCACCACCACGCCTCTCGTACCAACACTCACACACAGCCTGCACCACCACGCCTCTAGTACCAACACTCACACACAGCCTGCACCACCACCACGACTCTAGTACTAACACTCATGCACAGCCAGCACCACCACCACGCCTCTAGTACCACAACACTCACACACAGCCTGCACCACCACCACGCCTCTAGTACCAACACTCACACACAGCCTGCACCACCACGCCTCTAGTACCAACACTCACACACAGCCTGCACCACCACCACCACGCCTCTAGTACCAACACTCACACACAGCCTGCACCACCACGCCTCTAGTACCACAACACTCACACACAGCCTGCACCACCACGCCTCTAGTACCAACACTCACACACAGCCTGCACCACCACCACGCCTCTAGTACCACAACACTCACACACAGCCTGCACCACCACCACGCCTCTAGTACCAACACTCACACACAGCCTGCACTACCACTCCTCTAGTACCAACACTCACACACAGCCTGCACTACGACCACGCCTCTAGTACCAACACTCACACACAGCCAGCACCACCACCACGCCTCTAGTACCACAACACTCACACACTGCCTGCACCACCACGCCTCTAGTACCAACACTCACACACAGCCTGCACGACCACGCCTCTAGTACCAACACTCACACACAGCCTGCACCACCACCACGCCTCTAGTACCACAACACTCACACACAGCCTGCACCACCACCACGCCTCTAGTACCAACACTCACACACAGCCTGCACCACCACCACGCCTCTAGTACCACAACACTCACACACAGCCTGCACCACCACGCCTCTAGTACCAACACTCACACACAGCCTGCACCATTCCGCCTCTAGTACCAACACTCACACACAGCCTGCACCACCACCACGCCTCTAGTACCAACACTCACACACAGCCTGCACCACCACCACGCCTCTAGTACAACAACACTCACACACAGCCTGCACCACCACGCCTCAGGTACCAACACTCACACACAGCCTGCACCACCTCGCCTCTAGTACCAACACTCACACACAGCCTGCACCACCACGCCTCTAGTACCACAACACTCACACACAGCCTGCACCACCACGCCTCTAGTACCAACACTCACACACAGCCTGCACCACCACGCCTCTAGTACCAACACTCACACACAGCCTGCACCACCACCACCACCACGCCTCTAGTACCACAACACTCACACACAGCCTGCACCACCACCACGCCTCTAGTACCACAACACTCACACACAGCCTGCACCACCACCAAGCCTCTAGTA